ACCGGCGGCTCTCGGAATCGTTCCCGGCCAGCCAACGCCAGGCAGGGATCCTCCAGCGAGAGAAATCTTTGTGAGCGAGTGAGAGTCAGCGAGTCCGGGCATCGCCCGCCCAGCCTGGGGGAGGGGGTTACTCCATCGACTACCCAAAGCCGGGCAGCCCTAGACCTCTACCCTACGGGGACTTGGGGCTCTGGCCTCCGACACTCAGGCGGCCCACCCCATGCGCGCACACACACTCCCGCCAGGACCTCATCTCCACATCCAGACCCTCCCCCGGACACACCCAGAGACACACAAAGACTCACACGGGCTTGTGTCCCGTCACCCTCGGCCTCCGAGGCGCGCACACTGCGTCCCAGATGCACATTCGCACACCATCGCAGCGCACACATTCCATCCCTGGCACACACACTTTCGTGGTCACACCAGCTCATTACACGGGGAGGCAATACAGGGCACAAACTCTGGCACAGTCAGCCGGGACCTTCCCAATCTCTCTGGTGCACCCATCCAGGCACATAAGGTAACCTGGGCAGAGCTGAGATGTTGGGAACCTCCCTCCAGTACCCTCCAGAAAGGGCCGAGTAGGCATCCCCTGGGATCACTTGCTGGAAGCGTGGCTGTCCGGGCGTCTAGGCAAGCATGGGGCTGGTCCAGGCCCTCCGCTGGACAGGAGGCAGTGCCTGTGGGTCCCACTATAGCATCAGGCTTTGTCCCCAGCCAGTGGAGCAGCAGGCGAAGTTGGGGGGTGGCTGTTGTGGGAGTGTTTTTTTCTTTTTTTCCTTTAAAGGGGAAGAAATTAAATAAAAGATTCTCACACCTCAGCAATATGTTTCTACTTACGGTGTGTCTTAGCACCTGATCAGCAGGCGGGTGGGTCATAAAGTCTGTGCAGGTACCAGCAGGAGAGAGATGGGGATCCCTGTGGGGACCCCAGGATGGAGGCCGCCAGCCCAACTGCCCTCCCCACTCCCTCGCAGGGAATCTCACACTTTTCCCTTTTAAAACACATGGTGTTCCTTTTTAATAACGGCAGTGGCTCCAGATTGGGAAAGGGGGAAGAAAAAAACTTTTAAAGGCCCCAGCGCTGCAGGAAAGGCAGGGAGGCAGGGAGTGAAGGGGAGGGGAGCCATCCGAAAGCCCAGCCCTGGAATCTGCTTTGGGGAGCCCTCTAGGAGGCCCCCAAACCTGGCCACTGGCCCCCAGCCTCAGTGGGCTCTTCCCAGCTGCTGAGCCTGGCCTGAAATATTGTGCATCTCTGTCCTAGCACCAGCCCATTGTTTGGGGAGGCCTGGAGGGAGTTGTCGCAGCCCCTGCCCCTCCACTTGGGACTCCAGCGCTGGGAGGGGCTGTAATCCTAATAGTTCAGTTCCTGGGCGCCACTGTATGACTAGCCCCCCTCGCCTCTCTGTCAGCTCAGCTAACTCATCTTCTCACTAGGGGAGGAGACACCGGAACAGAGAGGGGCAGCCGTGTGCCCAGGTGGTCCAGCCAGTTGGCACTGTGGCCCTGGAGCAGAGGCCTCCATCTGACCTCTCCTGCTGGGCTGGGGGAAAGCAGTGGCCTGCCCAGGCCTGCCTGGCCTTGCCCTCTCTCCTTGGCCCCCCGAGGGCAGCTGCAGCTGCTGGCAGGCGGGCCTGAGCAGCCCAGGCCAGACAGGCATGGTGTGGAGGGCCAGTGTCCCTAGCCAGGACCCCCCAGAGAGCCCCTTCCCAGACAGGCCAGGCCATGGTGGTGGGCAAGAGGCGGGGTGAGGGGAGCATGATCCACCACTGAGGGCTGAGAGGGGGCCTGGGGTCCAGGCAGGCCTGGCCTCAATCCCACCCTGCTGGCCCCCAGCAGGAAGCGGTGGGTGGGCCAGGGCAGAGACGCTGGCACGCCCGAGTTCATGCCAAAGGAATTCCGAATTAGCGGGCGGCTGGCTGCCTGGGACCTCCGGGGCGGCCCCCTGGCCCCCCGCCCCCGGCCACCCCCGCCTCCCTGGCGCTGGCCGGCTCTGCCGGCTCCTTCACACGGACGCTGAGACCTCCGGCGAGCCCTGGGCCAAGCCCCAAACGCAACTTCGATCCCAGGCTCCAGTGAGACATGGCCCTTGAGCCAAGTTAACCCCGGAAAATCATCAGGGCCCATCCCGGGAAGCCTGTCCACCCCACCTTGCCCTTCTAGGGGTGGCACAGGGCAGCTGCAGGCTTTCAGGGGGCTTGTCCCAGGTTGCCATCTGCAGCCATTGCCCCCTTGTAGTCTTTTCTCCTGGTTGGCTGGCTGCCTGGGGATCCTTTTAACATGTGAATCCGGCCTCGTTCCTCCCCTGCTCAGATCGCTCCAATAACTCTCCAGTGTCCTTAGAATAAACCCCACCGCCTTGCAGGCCTCCCTGCCCTCACTTCGGAACATGGCTGCCCTGGGCCCTTTGCACTTGCTGTTCCACTTGTCCCTGTGCTCCCCAGATTATCCTCAGGACTCTTTCTTTATTCAGCCTTCCTCCTCCCTGCTTTGCTTCTCCCCAGCACTTGTTCTCTGAGAGTCATTTGTTCTTTTTTCCTGCTCCCCTTTCTGGATTCACACCCCCTACAAGGGCAGGATTTCGTGTGTCTTGGTTATTGCTGTGCCCCAGTGCCTCACACACTGTAGCCTCCCCGGAATGAATGAATGAATGAGTCCTCACAACTTCTCTGGGTGGAGGGAAGGGCCCAGAGGCTCTGAGAAGTGAAGCTTCCACAATGAGCAGGGGTATTCAAACCCAGGTCAGCCCAGCTCAAAAGTCCCATGCACTGTCCTTGTACAATATTTTCACTCTCCTCAAGTAATCCCTCAAATGACCATGATGCCCACTTCCCAGATGGAGACACTGAGGCTCAGAGAGCTGCTTGGAGTGGTCACAGTAGTGGCAGGCGTCTGGCCCCACAGCATCCTTGAGGGGACCCCCAGGAAATGAGAAGTTGCTTAGTCTGTGCATCTCCTCCCTCTTCTCTGGGCCTCAGTTTCCCCATATGTAACATTGGTTCCTGTTAGGTTCCCACTGAAGAGGAAGCCCTGGGGGCCAGCACTCAACCATTCACAACTCAGTTCCAGAAGCTCTTACCCATCTGACCTTCCCAACGGCCTCAGGGACAAAGAGCATTCTCATTTCCCATTCTGCATATTAGAAAAACTGAGCTGAGGGAGGAACAATGGTGTGAAGCCCTTTCCGGTGGGGACTGGGGACGCAGAGTTTGGTGCACCCCCCCAGCCATTTTCAGTCCTGCAGCAGTGTAGGGCAGAACTTTGGAGCACGATAAATCTGGGTTTACATTGTGTGCCCCTCCTTCCTTCTGGGACCCTGGGAAAGTGACATGATCTCTTTGAACCTCGGTTTTGCCATCCATGAAATGGGCAGGACTGAGGAGAAAATGTAGGTCAAATCTTAGCACAACACTTGGAACACAGGAAGTGCTCAATAAACAGTGTCCTTAATGATTCATCTGGACTCTCTGGGTGGCGAAAACTGAATGCGCTTGGCTGCTGACCAAAAGGTGGGTGGTTTGACTCTACCCAGAGGTGCCTTGGAAGAAAGACCTGGCTATCTTCTGAAAAATCAGTCCCTGAAAACACCACGGAGCACAGTTCTATTCTAATATACATGGGACTGCCTTGAATCAGAGTAGTCCCTGGGTGGCACAAATAGTTAAGTGCTGGGCTACTAACTGAAAGGTTGGTAATATGAACCAACCCAAGTGGCACCACTGCGAAAGGCCTGACAATCTGCTGTCAAAATGTCACGGTCTTGAAAACCCGGTGAAGTAGTTCTGCGCGTCTCACATGGGGTCACCACGAGTTGGAACCAACTCGATGGCAACTAGCTAAGTTCTCCTGACAGAAGCACTTACTATGTTTGAGTCTCTGGGGTTACCACAAAGCAAACTCACAATCTTGTATCTAATTGCAAGAAAAGAAGTGAGGGGAAAAAAAGCAGAGTGCCGTGTTTGTCAGAATAATGTGCAAACCAAGAGTCAGTTGGATTGAGTTGGCACTTAGAAAGTCAGTGATGAACTCAGGAAGGACCTGAGTTCTCAAGGTAGACAGATCTGGGCTTGAACTGTGATCTCACCACCAACTTTGGCCTGCTCACTTGACCTATCCGAGCCTCAGTTTCCCTTTACATAAGGTAGGGGGCCCTGGAGGACCCAGCATGGTGGGGGTCCCCAAGCCTGACCATTGCTCCTTTCTGACCCTAGACACAGCTGTGATCAGCCCCCAGGACCCCACGCTCCTCATCGGTTCCTCCCTGCAAGCCACCTGCTCAGTGCTTGGGGACCCACCAGGGGCCACCGCTGATGGCCTCTACTGGACCCTCAATGGGCGCCGCCTGCCCACCGAGCTCTCCCGCGTGCTCAACACCTCCACCCTGGCCCTTGCCCTGGCCAACCTCAACGGGTCCAGGCAACAGTCAGGGGACAATCTGGTGTGTCACGCCCGTGATGGCAGCATCCTGGCTGGCTCCTGCCTCTATGTTGGCCGTAAGTGGGCCCTGCACACCCCAGGGGAACTCTGGGAGCAGCAGCTTCTTCTGGAAAGGGACGTGAGGCAGGGACTTTTCTGATCTAGGATTGAATGATAGATGCACTGACAGAGACCGAAGGGTGAGTGTGCTGGCCTGCAGTTGATTGACTGCTGGGTGTGCTGGCTGAGACTGAACTGAATGGTCTGGGGCTGCGTGGTGGATGAGTTGGCAGAGTTTGGACTGAATGGTGGATGCTGTAGCAGAAGCTAGGCTGCACTGTGGGCGCTCTGACCCAGGTTGAGAGTTGGGGGCCTCTAGAGTGAGAATGAGAGCAAGTGGCCATGCCAACCGACATCTGTTGGTACCTGTGAGGATGGGGCCAAGACTGTCCTGCCCCTTCCTCCTACTCCTGGCCACGGCCTTCCTCAGCCCTGCCCCCCTCCAGTGCCCCCGGAGAAGCCCTTCAACATCAGCTGCTGGTCCAAGAACATGAAGGACCTGACGTGCCGCTGGACACCTGGGGCACCTGGGGAGACCTTCCTACATACCAACTACTCCCTCAAGTACAAGCTGAGGTGGGTGGAGCCGGTGGGGGGAGGGTAACCCCAACTGGCTGCATGACCTTGGCCGCTGCAGGACCCTCACTGCCCAGCCTGCCTGCCCATAGGTGGTACGGCCAGGACAACACGTGTGAGGAGTACCACACCATGGGGCCCCATTCCTGCCACATCCCCAAAGACCTGGCCCTCTTCACGCCCTATGAGATCTGGGTGGAGGCCACCAACCGCCTGGGCTCAGCGCGCTCTGATGTGCTTACCCTGGACATCCTGGATGTGGGTGAGGCCCTGGCGCCGCCCAGCCCCCTACAGGGGGAGGGCTGCATCTTGGGTGGGTCCTGGCTGGTGTGTGGGGGGTGATACTAGGTGTCCTCCATCTGTGTGCAGCCCCCCCCAGAGCAGCTATGACCTCCACCCTGCAGAGAACACCTGGCTGGGCTGCCTCCCCCTCGGTGGCCCAGGTGTGCAGGAGGGGGCCCAGGGGAGCAGGGAGGGGGCGCCCAGGTCGGGAGGCGCCCCAGGAAGCCGGGGCTTGGAGCTGGGGGGCGAGGGCGGGAGGCAGGAAATGGCTGATCTGCAAGCCGAATTGGGCCTAATCTAATTAGGATGTTTCTCAGCCCCAAGCAGGCCTGTGCCTTAACCCTTTCAGCCCCTCACAGAGGCCTCAGGGGGAGAGGGCTGTGTACCCCGCTGCCCAGGGGGCCCCCAGAAGGATCCTTAGAGCCCCTCAGGGCTTGCAAGGCCCCCAGCCTATCTTCTGCTAATTCACTGCCTGAATCTCCTGTAGGCGAGGCCCAAGATTCTGTTGTCCCTCTGCACCCTACTGTAACATGAGGGGGCCTCAGTCACCTCCTCCAAAGAATGAGAAGGGGTTGGGGGTAGGTGGGGGCAGAGGCTCCCTAGGGGCTCCCCAAGGGCTGGAGGCCTGACCTGGTTTCATGGGCATAATCATACTTGTAATAACATCACCTGGGGGCTATCATTGCCTTGTCATAGCCTCCCTGTGCTGGGATCATGTTTCCACCTTCACAGATAATAATGCTGATAACAGTGAATGTTAATTGAGGGCTTCTGGGCGATGAGTGGTTTCTGAGTTTGGCTCGTGGAATCCACACCTCTGTCCCCAGGGTGGGTGGAAACGGAAGCAGGTCACAGGAAGCCAGTTGCCCTGGGCCATATGGCTCTGGGGTTGAAATCTAGACAGTTCCAGGCTGCCGGTCAGGGGGCCAGGCTGGTGACTGGCATACCCTATCCTGCAGTGACCACGGACCCCCCTCCTGATGTGCATGTGAGCCGCGTTGGGGGCCTGGAGGACCAGCTCAGTGTTCGCTGGGTCTCGCCACCCGCCCTCAAGGACTTCCTGTTCCAAGCCAAGTACCAGATCCGCTACCGTGTGGAAGATAGTGTGGATTGGAAGGTGCCTGTCCATCTGTCTGCCCACCTGCCTGCCAGCCCACCTGGCCCCCAGCTCCGAGCTCTGACCCTGCCCTACCCACCCAGGTGGTGGATGATGTCAGCAACCAGACCTCATGCCGCCTGGCGGGCCTGAAGCCAGGTACCGTGTACTTTGTGCAAGTCCGTTGCAACCCTTTTGGCATCTATGGCTCTAAGAAGGCTGGGATCTGGAGTGAATGGAGCCACCCCACGGCCGCGTCCACCCCCCGCAGTGGTGAGCACCCCCCAACAGGCCTGAGTAATCTGGGCAGCAGCCCCTCACTCTTAGTTTCCCCAAGAACGGGGTCTCAAACTGGTGGTGACCCCAGGGCCGATTGAAGTTGGCGCCTCCTCAGTCAGTTTTCTTTGGCCATTCATTATTGTTATTTTTTTTATTTTTTTACATACTACATATGTTTTAAAACAGGACATTTTTACACAAATAACCAGATTCTCTAGAAAAATTTATTCTTTAAAAAATTCAACAAGACAGGGCCACTGTTGTCTGGAGGCTGCCCCTTCAGGCAGAGCCCTCACTCTCCAGCTGTTCCATTCCTACCTGGCCCATTTAACCACGGGCACCACCACCCCCAGGTCCCTGGGTGGCACAAATGGTTTGCATTCAGTTATGAGCCTAAAGGTTGGCAGTTCAAATTCTCAGTGGTGCCATGGAAGAAAGGCTGGCAATCTGCTTCCAAGAAAATTACAGCCACAGAAACCCTATGGAGCAGTTCTACTCTGTAACACATGGGGTCACCATGGGTCAGAATCAACTTGACAGCAACAGGGGACCCCCTTCCCAACCTTTGAGGGCAAGCAGGTTTGAGACCCCTGCTTCTGAGGCTCGTTGAGTGCCAGCTCTTCTCTGATAGGCCTCGATTTTGCCTCCTGATCCAGAAGAGCCGTGGAAATGATCAGGAGCCTAGGTCTAGTTTTGCTTACTGCCCTAAGCCTGTGGGCCCTGTGGAATGGGACCATCTTGAGCAGTTGGATGAAATTTATGACTGAGTTACTGTGTTCTCATCTGGAAAGTGGGGCCCATAATCACACCAGCACCAATTCAAGAAAGCACTTTAAAGAGTGGTGGGTGGGGTGGGGGGAGAACCTAGGTCCCCTTCTCCCTATTCACTCCTGAAAGGCCCTTTTCTCAGAGGGCACCAAGGGCTTAGGAATTCAGCTGCCCACCTCCCTGGGTCACACGGATCTGAGCTCAGTTTCTCGGGAGTCCAGGCCCATCGTCATGGACTAATGGGGAAACCAAGGCCCAGAGAGGTTCCTAGAGCCTAGGAGGGCGGCGCAGACTCCAGCCGGCTCCCAGCCCCAGCCCGGGCCCCTCCAGGTCGGGGTGGGCGGAGCAGCGCTGGGAGGGGCCTGAGCCTTGGCCCTGCTCGTGCCCAGCACCTGCGATTCTTGCACGGGAGCCAGCAGGCGCTGCGTCCGCGGGGAGGCTGGCGGGGGCGGCGGGGGCCGGGGCCGTGCCAGGGCCTGTCAGCGGGTCCCCAGCGTTATTTATGACGTGAGGCCGATGTCCTTATCCACCGGCCTGCTTGCGGCTGCCTGTGACTGGCTGCTGAACCAACGGGCCAGCCTCCTACCTGGCCCTTTTGCCCTCTCCTTGGAGTACCAGCAGCGCGCGCTCCCGGCCCACCTGGGGACCAGCCCACAGGTCTCCTCCCTCTCTGCCTTCTCTGGCTATCTCTCTTTTCTGAATCTTTCTTTCTCTGTCTCCCTCCATTTTTTTCTCTCTCCCTCCATCTCTTTGTCTCTCTGTGTCTCCCTGTCCCTATTTCTTCCTTCGTGTCTGTCATTCTGCTTGCTTTTCTTGGTCTCACCCTGCACAGCCTCGTCTCCCTCTTGTCCCTCTCTGCCCCCTCATCTCCTTGGCTGCTCCCCCCCCCCCAATTTCCCAGCTTTCTCTCCTCACTGTCTCTTTCTCTCCCTTTCTCTCGCTTTCAGCCTGGGCCCCTCGGGGCCCTCGTCTCGGTCCCCTTCTCTGTCAGTCTATCATCTCCTCCCCTGCACCAGACCCGCCCCTCACACCCTGCCCTTGCACGCACACCTGGCTCAGGCCGCAAGGAATCCGGTTCCTGGACACACGGAGGAGGAACCCCTTCCTCCCCTGCCCCCACCTCCCCAGGGGCGGGCGGGCCGGGGCGCAGCTGGACCGCCGTGCAAGGCTGCGGGGAGGGCCCGGTCCCGCAGACACCGGCAGGGAAGTGGCCGAGGGGCTCTGGGGCCGCGGCGCCGGCCCCCTCCCGTCCTGCGCGCGCGCGCGCCTCCTGCCGACCGCGCCCCAACGCTGCTGCTGCGCCCCCCTTTAGAGCGGCCGGGCCCTGGCGGCGGGGCGTGCGAGCCGCGAGGCGGCGAGCCGAGCTCGGGCCCAGTGCGGCGCGAGCTCAAGCAGTTCCTGGGCTGGCTCAAGAAGCACGCGTACTGCTCGAACCTCAGCTTCCGCCTCTATGACCAGTGGCGCGCCTGGATGCAAAAGTCGCACAAGACGCGCAACCAGGTAGGAAGGGAGGCCCCAACCAGGTAGGGAGAGGGAATTGGGGGAAGGCTGGGGAGGGACAGTTGGCGGGGCAATTGCCCACAGTCCCCACGACACCGCCGCCTTCCTTCCAAGCACAGGACGAGGGGATCCTGCCCTCGGGCAGACGGGGCTCGGCGAGAGGTAAGAGGGCCCGGGCAGCCTAGCGGGAGTGCGTGCCTCGTCCTTAGCTTTAGGGTCGCTGAGATGGAACTTCTCCCTTCTTAGTATCGCATTCATTAGTATTAGCACCCACTGTTTGCCCAGGCCTGTGGCCTAGAAAGAGTATCCAACCCAAAGGGGAATCTTGTCTCCAGAACCCAAGTCCAGGAATGAATGAATGCTAACTACATTAAACATACTCCTACATATTCCTGTTAGCATGTATGAGTGCATACTGCATGCTTGCCCTGTGCCAAAAGCTTTACCCGCAGGACACCAGGTGAAGTGGGTAGAGTCCTATTTCTCAGATGAGAAACCAAGGCCCAGACAGGGGCAGCACCCTGCCCAATGTTACACAGCTAAGTCCTCTATTCCTGCTTAGTGTTGCTCAGCCCTGCCTTCCCCTCTGCCCACAGGTCCTGCCAGATAAACTCTAGGGCTCTGGGGCTGCCATACCACCCAAGACCTTGGGGAGCCAGGAATACCCATTTTAGGAGCTCTGACAGACACAACAGCCACCTTCAAGGGTGCCCCAACATGGGGAGGTGCAGGCCAGGCAGTTGCCTGAATCTGCCAGGGATATGCTGAGGTGGGGTCATGACTCCCCCCAACCCAGGACGCTGCCAAATAGTCTTTCTAAATAAATGAATTATTTAGGTTCCAACTGTGTAGGCGGCTTTGAGTCTGGGTAGGGGTGGTAGGGCTTGGAGAAGGTGAGAGGAGTCCTCATGACCCTTTGTGGGTGGAACCTCCATCCCTGGAATTTCAGACTGGCACCATCCAGGATCTGAAATTCTGAAAACAACGGCAATGGGTTTTTGGGAGTCAGGGACGAGTAGGCGGCTTGCACCAGCCATTCCTGGTCCTGAGGGGCCCCTTCCCTGACATACTTGCCCCAGCACCGCAGAACATAGATGGTGGAGCAGCTGCAAACAGAGGAGTTTTTATTGGGGGGGGGGGGGCGGTCAGCAGCCCAGTGGGGCGCAACCCAGCCAGCTGGTGGTCAGGCTGGGCTGGGCGCCATTCACCACGTTTCCCATCTCCCTTGGTGTGTCCCTGGCGAGCCAGATCATTCCGCAGACTCCGCATCAAACCTGAGGTCCTGGAGAACCTCGCTGATTGCCTCCATGGTTTTAATTACCCTACAAGAGCGGATGGGAACTATAAATAAAACCCAGATGGGGTGAATTAGCTGCTGCTGCACAGCCAAGGGGGCTGCGGCAAGCCCCGGGCCCTCCTGCCCGTCGCCCAGCCTCCAGGCAACACCAGCATCAGGCAGGCCTGTGGGGTAGGTGTCCACATGCATGTACTCTGAGGGCCATGTGTGCAGGCATGTACACACAGTGAGTATGGTGTGGAGTGTGTACACATGCATGTGCTTGGGAGACTGCATGTACGTAAGTGTGTGCATGGTGGTATGACACATAAGCAGCTGTGCCCTGTGTGTAGGAGTTGAGAATGCCAGGATGCAACTGATGTGAATCTGCAGAGTGTGTGTGCTTGAAGGAGTGTGTGAGCTGAGGGCAAGCAGGTGAGTTCTCGGACCTCCAAATTCTGTGTGGAGCCTGGAGGTCCAGCAGGGCTGGTTTTGGGGACCCCTGGCTGGGATAAAAGCCTGACACCAAACTAACCCATTGCCATCGAGTCAATTCTGACTCATAGCAAGTCTATAGGACAGAGTAGAACTGCCCCATAGGGTTTCCCGCAGAGCAGTTGGTGGGCTTGAACTGGCGATCTTTGTGATAGCAGCGAGCGCTTTTAAGCACTGAGCTACCATGGTTCGTGGGAGCCTGAAGGTACCCTCCAAATAAAGCAATGGCCATGCTAGAGCAATGGCTCACTTCATCTTCAGCTGGTGCGTCTGGGAGGTGTCTTCCTGCCCCCTCAGCTCCGGTACCCCCATCAATTGCAACAGAGCCACCTGGGGGGAGGAGTAGCGAGAGGTAGTCACTGTGGGCGGAGGCTGCCTGCCTCCCCATGTAGACACTGCCGCGCAGACACGCTGGCAGGCGGTCAGGGCGGGGTGGAGCGACTGGTTGGAGCGACTGGTTGGGGATCAAGAAGGCGGAACTTTGTGTGGGAGGAATATGCTCCGGAGGGAGGGGCCGAGCGGGCTGACCTGGGAATCCCAGGGCCGCCTCGGGGGCGGGCCGAATGTGGGCAGAGCCCGGAGTCTCGGCCAGGGATTGGAGGTAGGGATAGAGAAGGTGGGGCCTTGTAATCCCAGGGGCCGGGTAAACCTGGGACCAGGATGGAATTGGGGTTTCAAGGGAAAGACGAGAACAAGGAGCTGTGGGCGAGGTGTGGGCATCCTGGAAAAGAGGTGAGGTTGGAATTGGGGACTGGGACAAGGTGGACGTGTCCTAGGACTCTGACAAAACCGGCACTGAAATTAGCTGCTGTAAGAAGGGAACGTGGTCAGAGAATACCGGCGGAAAGGCGGTTAGGGGAAGGGTTGGGGTTGGCCGGGGCTCACCGTGGTTAGGCGAGTCTGCTCCAGCTGCTGCAGGGCTCGCACGTGGCCGGCAAGCAGCGGCTGCGCGCGGGGCCCTGCCAGCTCAGCCTCCAGGGCCAAAACTTCCCGCGAAGCGGCGGCGAAGGACTGGGTCACCTCGTGCACTGAGTCCCGGTAGCGCGAGAAGTCGTAGTGCGGGCCACTGCGCACATACTGGTGGTGGGCTCTGAGGCAGGTGAGGGCCCTGAGGTCGTGCACCCAGGCCCTGAGCCCGCGTGACAACCTCAGGTCCCCTACGGGGAGACCCAGGATCCCAGAGACCGTGACCCCGCAGGGGTGACTGAGACAGGCCCACCCTTCGGAGTTGGTAATGAGGAGAAGCCGCGCAGAGAGGCTTCCGGGAATAGGGGTGCACACAGCGTCCCAGAGAGCGGACGCGAGAATCTGGACCCCAGCAGACTCCACTTCACCATGGCCGCGAAGCGCTCGGGGACCCCGGGCACCTGCGCCATACCCACCCGGCCGCACTCACTCCTCCAGCCGGCGGAAGGCTTGCGCGCGCTCAGCTTGGAGCTGGTGGATCCGCTGTACCAGCACGTGGACCGAGGCACCTTTCTGCGAGTGGGAGGCACGTCCCGGACGTGAGGCCGGCGCCCCTGGCCTGCCTTGCCCGCTCACCTGTCCTGTGTTCCCCGTTCCGGGCGTACGCTCACCCAGGGCCACGCCGGCTCAGCGCATCCTGGGGCAGACGCGACCTCCTCGACTGTAATCATGACTGCGAGGCACAGGCGCACCCTGAACCAGGAAACTTCGCCACGCGTGGCGCCCCCTCCAGGCCCGGAGGACTCAGACCCGCATCCGCCGGGCAAGGACCCGGGGAGAACTGGGAGTCGGACCCCCAGACTCCGTGTGCTCTCGCCTCCATGACATAGCGTCCTTGAAAGCAGTTTTTCTAAGGCAAACCTATTAGCCCTCTGGTTGTTTTACACGCACGCATTGGAACACCATCTAAGTGCTTACAAAGTTGCGTTTAATCCTCACAACGCTCTGACTCAAAAGACAAGAGCCTGAGGTAAAGCCCCTTGCCTAAGACCACCGGGCTGTGACATCAATGAAATCTGGGCACAGCTCCTGACGCTGGAGCACACCACACCCCTGGAAGCTGAAGGCAGCTCAGGTTAAGCGTGTGTCAGGCCAAGGGAAAGCTGAAGGAAGGAGCCAGTCAGTGCAGGTGGAAGAACAGCCTGTGCAGAGGCCCTGAGGGAAGCTGGGGCAGGGGCAGGGCCTACAGGGACTCATCTTCATCTGAGCTTATAGAACTTTGTGCTCTGAAGAGCTTCCGTTTCCAGAGACTGAGGTGATGGAGGGCATGAAGGAACAGGCATGAGGGAAGGTGGCCCAGAAGAGGAACAGTGCACAAAGATGGAGCTTGACTAAGTGAGGCTGGGGTGACTGAGACACCAGCCTTCAGCAGGACCCCAGGAAGAAAGTGTGTTGGGCATCTGAGTTACTTACTGCCTACTTTAGGCTCCAAGTGGGACAGCATTCACCTCAAGCCAATGCCAGTCTAAGGGTTGCATCTCTCACCTGACTTGACTGCAAGCAATCTCAGGTGGGGCCCAGGTGACTTTTATGTGCTGGGGCTGGTGTTACCTGACTTTCTACCCACCCACACCTAAGACAGCCCCTCCCAGGCCCAGGTGACACCTGATGATAGGTAATTTGTTACTGCATGCCATCCAGTTGGCTCTGATCCATGACAACCTTACCATACAATAGAACAAAATCTTTGGTCCCATGCCATCCACACAATCGTTACGTTTTAATCCAATATATATATACTACTATACTGCATTGTTGCATACTGTACTATACCCTAAATATGGTGCCTGACTAGGCCTATCGTTTCCCAGCCAATCCTGGGGTAAGAGTCTTTAGTCTCAGGCTGCAGATGACAACCTCAGGTTCCAGGATTAAGCTTGTAAGTAGCAGGGGGCCCATGTGATTCATCCTGTGGTTATGACAATTCTGTCAGGGAAGGGCAAGAGCCACTGCCTGTTTTAAGTATGAGCTGACTAGATCCAGAACCTAATGCCCAGCAGAACTGAGTGAAAGGAAGATGCCCTGCCTTGGCTGCCTTCCTCCCTAATAGACCAGCCAAAAACACCAGTTACTATATCAGTTCAATGAAGGGAGACTTTATTGAGGGCCCAAGACCATGGGGAGGCCCAGGAGGAGGCCACCCATAAGAGGCAGGGGAGCCAGAGTAGAAGGGCCCTTATTTGACCTTCTTCTTGGGACGCAGATTGTTGGTATGGCCACACTTCTTCTTGCGGCAGTTGACAGCACGGGGGTGCAAGCGAGCATAACACCTGTATGGAGACAGGAAATACTGTTAGAAGTGTGGGGTGCAAGTGAGCCTAACACACAATAACCAGGGCACAGGGTGCTGTCAGGGTACTCTGACTCCCAACCCCACTGACAGCCCAGCCCTTGGAGTGGGCACATACTTGCGGCAGATCATCTTGTCGCAGTTGTACTTCTGAGCAAGCTGGCGCAGGGAAGGCTCAATGATGCCACCGCGCAGACGCAGCACCAGGTGCAGGGTGGACTCTAAGGAAGAGTGAGCATAAGAGTTAGCAAGACAAAGAGGCCAGGGCCTGACACCATAAGGGCAAATGGGGCTGCCCAGTGCCCCACATACCATAGCTTGCCCAAGTACAAGGATGACAAGAACCCCTAGGAAGCTCTGTGGTGGACAGCCTCACCAGCCCAGTGGCCCACCACCTGGGCAGTCACCACCCGCTGTGGCAAATCTGAGGTTCATATATGCAAACCAGGTACCCTCTGGGATTTCCAACATGAGAGGCAATTTCTAAGCAGTGTGGGGATGAACCCCATTATTTTGACAGGTAAGACATGAGTCTTGTTACTGTGACAAGTGACACCTAGTTTCCTGTCATGTTTTTAAATAAATGAATTCATTTAATATCTTAAAAGCAGGAGACTTGCCCCCCACCACCAACTTCACAAAAAGACAAAAAACTCAATCCAAGACAGGCAAGGGGCCTGAGCACACAGTTCACCAAAGAATACAAAGCATATGAAAAGATGCTTTTTTTTTTTGTCACTAGCCATCGGGAAAATGCAAATCAGAAACACACTGAGATACCACCTCACCCCCACCAATGATTACCAATCAACCCAGAAAGTAAATGTTGGTGAGAATGTGGAGAAACTGGAATGTCATCCACTGCTGGTGGGAATATAAACAATGCAGCAGCTTCTATGGAAAACAGTGTAACGGTTCCTCAAAAAACACAAAACTACCATACAATCCAGAACTCCACTCCTACACCCAAGAAATTTAAAGGAACAAAAACAGAAACCTGTGTGCCCATGTTCACTGCAGCACTTTTCAGAACAGCCAAAAAGTGGAAACCACCGAAATGTTCCATTACCAAAAGAATAAACAAAATGTGGTCCATCGTACAATGTAATGTTTAGTCATAAAAGAGAAAACAAGTCCCAATGCATGCCACAACACAGATGAACCAGGAAAACAGTATGTTTCCATGAAATAAAGTTACAAAAAGACAAATACTGCACAAACCTACCCATGAAATGGCTAGAATATTCAAATGTAGAAAGACCAAAGGTGATTAGTGATGACCAGGGACTAGGGGAAGGGAAGGAGAAGGGGAGCCACTGTTTATGGTGATGGAAATCAACAATGGATACTGGTGATGGTTGCACAATAATTAATGTCACTAAATTATACATATGAAAAATGGTAAATTTGCAAATATGTTGCATGCATTAATGAAGCATGATACCCCCACACACAGTCCATGATTGTACTTAAGTGTTTTCCTGATGCCAAGGAAAGGAACTCTGGTGGTACAGTGGTTAAGGCATCCAACTACTGACCAAAATGTTGGTGGCTGCAACCCACCAGCTACTCCACAGAAGACAGATGGGGCGATCTGCTTCCGTAAAGGTTTACAGCCTTGGAAACCCAAAAAGGGTTGGTATGAGTTGAAATCTACTCAATGGCAGTTTTTTTTTTTTCTTTTCATTGATAACATTTTTCATGTTGTGCCACTACTGCTGCTATCTTTTCCCAAAAGACTTCACCACCATTAGCATAAACTCAATGACTCTCAAACAAAAGCTTCCCCTTTCCTTCTCCCTCCTACCCTGGTAACCACTAATAAACTTTGTATACTGAGTTCGGTGCCAAGGAGACTCCCAGTACCCCATCCCAGGCCTTGCAGGACCATTTGGCACACCAGTACCTTTCTGGATGTTGTAATCTGAGAGAGTACGGCCATCCTCCAGCTGTTTGCCCGCAAAAATCAGACGCTGCTGGTCAGGGGGAATGCCTATGGAGAGAGAAGGTGATTCCCCATTACTGAGGGATGGCTCAATGCCCATCCCCCCAAGGGTGTTCCAGTACTACCCCAGTCTCTCAGCAGGGAAAACGAGGCACAAGAATAGTCTTTTGTCCTGAGGCCACACAGTGTGTGAGAAGAGCAGCATTTGCTACTAGCCAAGTTGGGGCTTTCTGGAGCCGAGTACCCATTCTACACTGGACAGTGGTCCTGTGGATAGAGTCAAGGGACCCAGTCCCACTCACCCTCCTTGTCTTGGATTTTGGCTTTGACATTCTCGATGGTGTCACTGGGCTCGACCTCGAGAGTGATGGTCTTGCCCGTCAAGGTCTTCACAAAGATCTGCATCTCTGCGTCTGCTGTGGGGCAGGACAGAAAGGTGAGGGAAGCACATCTGAGCAGCCCTGGGCCTGCAGAGACCCCCATCAATGAGGTCAACCCCCAGCCAGCCTCCTCCACCCTAGCCCAAGCCCGGCCATTCTGAGCAAGTCTTACCATACAACCTTCACAGCACCTAAACGTGTTCCATGACTAAGGAGTATGCTCCCTCCCACCTACACCTGGAAGCCTGTGGAGAGCTTCATGGGGATGAGAACTGTGTTTCAGATACTTAAGCCTCCCATAGGCGGGACTCAGTGTTTGCTGACTGAATAACAAGGCCACTATCTGGGTGGCCATGTCTTCCCCAGAGAGGTGCTTAGTCCCTCCTCCCTGGCCTCAACTAGATCATGGCTATAGGATGCCCTTCCTGCTTGCCAGGATAGGAAACCTTAATAGACACCCACCCAAAAACACCTCCTCACAGACGCTCTCCTCCCTACTCAAATTCCAACCTGGGTCACTCAACACACTGGTTTCCTTCTCAATAAAGCCCAGATCCTCCATGCCTCACTACTCGTCTCTACTGCAGCCCCTAAGTAGTAATGACTACCAATAAGTACCATGTGCCAGAAACAAACTTTCAAAATTATCACTTCATTCTTTCTTAAAAAAAGACCAGAAAATGACACTACCACCACCCTTTCCTCAAAAATAGAAAAACTGAAGCAGGCTCAGAAACTTAACTGAAAGAGTTCGCTATTTTAAAGGGCGGGGCACAGGGTCGGGCACCGAGACAATGCTACGACTCATGGCGACTGATTTTTTCGGAAGCCGACCACCAGGCCTCCCTTCTGAAACACCTCCGGGAGGAAAACGCTACACGTTTGATTATCCCTTCCATCTTAACTTGGATGTGCCCAGGAGAATTCATCTGCGCTCGAGACCTAGTGAGCCCGCAGGCCAGGCCGACCCCAATTTCAATGCCCCGCTCGCCGCAGGCGGCCCCGCACGCCCGCTGCAGGCCCCATGCGCCAGGTCAGGCCGCCCCGCCAAGCCCGGCCCGCGCAGCAGACTCGGGCCCGCTGCTTCGGCCTCCGACCACCCCCCGCGGATCCCCACAGTCCCCCGCGGACCAGCACCCACCTCTGGCCTAGCGCGGACCCTCACAGTAGCCGCCACTTACCCGCTCGGCCGCCTCGCTGAAGAAAAAGAGGGCGGCGGAACCGGAAACGGCCTCCCACCGAGCACGCCGCGCGTTTAACGTCACAATACGCGCAGCACGCCGGGCTCCGCCCCGCCCCGCCTCCCCGTCTCCGCCATGTTGGGTGCTGGCGAGCGAAGCCGCGGCGAGTGTGGGCGGTCCTTGTGCAATTCGCTCCCTAGCGTGGGCTTGCTCTCTGCCTGGTTCACGTGAGGAGACGACCGCACCTTTCTATATGATCTGGCCCAGTGAAGCAGATCGGCACATAGCTGGCACTCAGTGAGTGCTTATTAACCAGAGTAGAGAATGGTGTTTTCCTGTTAAAGCAAAAGCATTAAGTACAGAGCTTGCAGGGAGGGAACGCAGGTCCTGGAATCCCCTAAAGGGGTGTCAGCTGGAGTGACACCCCGTAGTCAGTTACTAGAAGGCGCTGCCTCTGCTGCTGTGGGCTGACGGACGCGTTTCAGAAAGGGAAGGACAGCAGCTGGGAGACCAGGTGAGGGTGGTGCATTCACTTAGGAAAAGGTGGGGGTCTGTGCTAGAGTGGGGACCCAGGGGCTATTTTGGACATACAGTCCAGGAGATATGTGGATGGTTTAAATGTACCAGGCACAAGATAAGTCCGACAGATTCTGTATTTCCTTCAACAGTTTTGAGCACCTACTCTGTGCCAGGCAAAAGCAGACACTCTGTCTGGAGAGATGCCTTTAATAACATAATCTCTGGGTGCTCTGGATATAGGGTGTTGGTGGTTCAGTGTAGGTAGAATCTTTCCCTTCCACACAGGCCTGGAAACCGAGGTTCCGGTCCTGTCCAGTGCACCTACTGTGCAGCCACCACCCATCCGTGGAGGCTTGCCTGCTTCTCGGATGCTAAACAGGTTTCAGTGGAGCGTCTAGACTAAGATGGTACTAGGAAGAAAGGAGCTCTGGTAGCATAGTGCCTAAGGCACTTGACTGCTAACCAGAAGGCTGACAGTTCAAACCTACCAGCCACTCCTCAAAAGGAAGGTTGGGCAATCTACTTCCATAGTGATGCTGCCTCAGAAACCCAAGGAGTCGCTGAGTTGGGTCCGACTCGATGGCACATAATAACAACAGGAAGAAACGCATGGCCATTGACTTCCAAAATCTGCCATTGAAAACTGTGTCAAACAATCCAGTCTGCAACTGCTCATGGAGATGGCATGGGACTGGGCAACATCACATTCCCATTGTACATGGGTTCAGCAGAAGTCAGGGCCAACAGAACAGCAACTAACAACCACCACTGATAATGGGGGGGGGTGAGACCCAGTGTAGGGTCACGATAACCCCAACTCCTGTCACCATCTAGACCACCACCACTGGGACTCCCACCAAGAGCAGCCACATCCCTTCTTGGTCTCATGGTCCTAGTTGTCTGCAACCCCGGGTTATGCCCCCCATCTGGGCCCAAGAAGTCACTGCCAGGGGCAACCTTCCCTTTTTAGGAACAGAGTCTTTTTATTGGTAACTTCCCAACAGCATCTGTAAACATCAGGTACAAAAATATTCCGTGAAACTCTTTTCCAAGAGGGCCTAGCTTGCCCGTGGAGGCCTCTGGGAGACTCCCCTACTGGGGCAATCAAGGGTCCTCATGGACAGCCAGCCTCCATCTAGAGCCTTCTCCTTGTCTCTGAACCCCTCAAGATACCGACTAGAGAAAGTACTTGATACTGTTGTCGGAGAAAGGGTCAGAGTTGGTGGGGTAGGGGCGGGCAAGGGTTCCTCCACCTCCAGGAAGCCCTGACCAGGGGTGTGAGGAGGGGGCGGTTTGGCTCCAGTTCTTAAGAACCTTTAAATGTTGTTCGGGGCAGTCCTGGGGCCTGAGAAAGCCCCCTTGTACCCAGCCTGAGAACCCCAGCTGGGCTGAACGCACTCACAGGCTGAGGGAGGGGGGACTATTCTCCAAAGAGAAATGTTCTCCGGAGGAAGGGGGAGGAGCTCCCCAGGCATTGCACAGCCCAGGAGCTAGGCCCCCAGGAGAGCTGGATGACAGACAGGACCCTTGGGGACTGTGGATGGAGCTACTCGCCCAGCATCTCTTCCTCATTGTCTGTGGGGCCGTGACCATTGATGGTGGGGGAGCCGGGCTGGGCCTGGGACAGGTCCTCGAAGCCAGGGCTGAGGGGCAGCGAGATGAGGTCAGGGCTGGTGTCACAGGAGCCTGTACTCTGCTCCGAGGTAGCGATGGTGGTCGTGGTGCTGGGTGGGATGGGATCCTCGTCCTCATCCTCCAACAGGGATGCCTCTGGGATGTCTAGGGGATGGGGAAAAGACTAGAGTCAGCCCAGGACCAGCCTGAGGACCTTGCATGCCAGGCAACCATGATGTGGGTCTTGCTGGGTACGTGAGCCCACTTACAACCCCTCCAACCTTTGGGGCATGACTTGGCCCAAATTAAAAACAAAAAAACCCAGTTGCCTTCAAGTCAACCCTGACTCCTGGTGACCCCATATGGTACCAAAGCAGAAGTGTGCTCCACGAGGTTTTCAGTGCTAAGTTTGTGGAATTTGATCGCCACATCTTTCTTCCAAAGCACCTCTGGGTGGACTGTCAGCAGGTGAGCATGTTAGTTCTTTGTACCACTCAGGGACTCCTTGGCCCACAGAATGAAACTGAGGGCCAGAAAGGGAAAAGTTCTCCCCTTCAAGGTGTGCACAGAGAATATAAGGTCTGAGTCAGGCCAACGTGGGCCCTGGGGGGCCTGACTTTGCCCTTCTGGACTGTATCACCCAGCCCCCTTACCTGACCACACCTCAGCCCTCTGCTCTACATACACAGCTGATGACAGCACTGCCACTGTCCCTGTAGCCCTCCCTCCTGAGAGAATCAATAGCCCTAGAGCTGAGAGCTGTCAGCCCATTCAGCAGACAGGGTTCAGCATAGGGTGTGGGACCTCCAAGGTGACGGTGACATGAGCATGTGGGTTCCAAGACAGACAGATACAAGTTTGAGTCCTGGGCCCTGCCTTTTCCTGGCTGTGCATCCTCTGCAAACTGCCTTCCCTGTCTGGGCCTCAGTTTCCCCATCTGTGAGATGTGTTCTAACAGCCTGGCGTGCAGGAGTGTGCAGCACAAGCCTGGGGAGGACTGACACTGTCTTCGTCCCACTGCCTCTGTGGAGCCCTCCCTGAAGAGGTACACCAACCCCAACATCCATACTGCCAAGAGGACCACTCTGCCCCTCGTCCCTGGACCCACTGCCCACAGGTATCAACCCAAGACACCCTCCTAGGACTAGCATTTGTAAGCACAGATGCTAGACGTGAGGTACTGGAGCCCTGGGGGACACTTACGGCTAAAGGCTTCAGGGTGCTGCCGGGCGAGCTTCCCTTTCAGGGTCCTGCAAGGGAAGAAAAGGCATGAAGGGTGACAGTGCTCCCAGGGAGGTTGGACCAGGTGCTATGGCTCCAGGCAGGCAGTGGGCCCCTCCCCTCACTGGTCTACTCCAGCAGCCCCTCACCCCTAGGTGGGTGCCCCCCATCTACATGTCATTCAGGTGTTCTGTACCTCCTTGAATGCTTTTCTTCCATCTAATCCCCAGGGCCTTCCAACCTGCTTCCCAGTAATCGCTCTTGTGGGTGGCTCATCCTAGTCTTGTCCCTTCACCCCCAGGGGAATGGAGTCTGTGTCTGGCTCTTCCCCTCCCAGCTGAGGCTTCTAGAGGCCAGGGCTGGAGGCCCAGCACGGAGGTAGGTGCATGGTGTGGGAGCTGGTAGTGTCTGCTCAAACATGACAGTGTCCACACCCCAGACATCACATGTGAAACTCAAGCTCATGGAGAGCAGGGTATGGATTGAACTGTGTGCCCCCCAAAAGATATGCTAAAGTCCTAACTCCTATAGCCACAAATGGGACTTTTGGGAAAATACCGTCTTTTTTTTGAAGATATAATTGCTTAACAAGGTCATACCCCATCGCTGTTGAGTTGATTCCAATTCATGGTGACCCCATGGGTTACAGAGCAGAACTGCCCCATAGTGTTTTCAATGACTGTGATCTTATGGAAGCAGACTGCCAGGCCTTTCTTCCATGGCTCGGCTGGGTGGACCTGAACCTCCAACCTTTTCATTAGTAGCCAAGAGCAAACCATTTGTGCAACCCAGGGCCCTCTGAAGATATTATTAATTAACAAAAACCAAAACCCAATAAAAAAACCCAAAACCAAACTCACTGCTGTCAAGTCGATTCTGACTCATAGAGACCCCTCCTGGGGCAGTATCTCCATGGAAGTAAATTGCCCAGTCTTCCTTCCGAGGCATGGCTGATGGGTTTGAACCACCAGCCTTCTGGTTAGCAGTCAAATGCCTTAGGCACTACACCACTAGAGCTCCCAACAAGGTCATATGGGAGTACCAAAAACAAAAAAAAAATCCAAAACCAGTTGCCATCAAGTCAATTCTGAATCATGGTGACCCTTGTGTGTCAGAATAGAACTGTGCCCCCAGTTTTCAATGGCCGATTTTTCTGAAGCAGACTGACAAGCATTTCTTCCAAAGCACCTATGGGTGGATTCAAACCACCAACCTTTAAGTCAGCAGCCAAATACTTAACTGTTCGTGCCCAGGGACTCCATACCGGAGTATCTGTTGTTATTGTTAGTTGCTACTGAGTCGATTCTGACTCATGGTGAGTCCATGTGTGCAGAGTAGAACTGCCCCAGAGGGTGTTGAAGGCTGTGATCTTTCAGATCAGATCACCAGGCCTTTCTCCTGAGGCACCTCTGGGCAGGTCCTAATCCCTGAGTCCTATCTTATAAGAGGGGAGAAGAGATAGAGTGTCAGATTCACACACAGGGCCAGACACCACATGAAGCTGCGTCTATATGCATCAAGGTACACCACGGACAGCCACCAGAAGCTGTGAAAGGGGCGTGGAAGCGTTCCTATCTCAGAGCTCGCCAAAGGAATCAACACGGACACAGCCAAGATGCTGTTTCAGATTCCCGGCCTCCAGAACCGTGAGACAATAAATTCCTGTTC